AATTACAGTTGGTGGGATACTTTCTTCATAGTCTAATACCACCTTCTAAATAGAGCCAAACATATTTATTGAGCATCTAGTACTTGGCAATATTGCTAGGAGTTATGGAGAATCTGAGATCCCTACCTTTGTGTTCTATCAAACAAGGAAACAGATTAGGAAACATGGAACACTAAAATAGAGAAACAGACTACACAGCCTTGGGCATAGCTACTCTAAATATGATTACGAAACCATTTTTTGACACAATCTTGCTTCAATAGAAGGAAGCAATTGCACACTACCCTGTTGGTGTAGAGGGGGAGCGTACCTGGACATGTAATTAAATCTACGGCCATAAAAATTTTGTTTAGTAGTTCTAAGAGTTTAGTTTAGGATCAGCGATGAGCTTTGATGGTGCTCACGAATGGTGCCAATAATAATAATAGCCAAGTGAGACATCAAGCTTACAAAGTTATTTGTTTGTTTGTTTGTTTGTTTGTTTAGCAGGTGTTATGTCAAGAAGGCTCTGGTGAATAAAATTTATTATCACAGCCTCTACTTAATTTTTGGTGCTCTCTCTCTGAAAATGAAAAATTATTCAGTGCGCGTCAGCCTTATAGCACAGTGTGCACGTTTTTAGAGGATATTTTTCATTACTGAGCCTCCATCTTGTTCCCCATGCATTGCTGGGCTCCGGGTGAATGTTGATACAAAACACTGAACGGGCGCTGGAAAAGTCAAATCCATCTCGCTCCCCACCCTCAAGGAACAAACCAGCCCCCAGGGCGCATGTAGAAGGTGAGAGCTTATGAGGTATAAACACTTTAGTCGTTCACTTCATTCTTGGCCACGTAATTCAGGATGGTCTAAATATTCTCCTCGCCCTTTTTTCTCTGGCACCGTGATTCTGGCCGGGCACCTGTAATGCGTGTGATAGTGTAGACTTAATAAACTCATCACTCGACTTACCTTTGCGTAAGGTAAGTTTTGGTAAATGTTATGTCTTCACCTGGTAAATACCTTAGTTATCAGAAAAGGCCTGATATATCACTATTAACCACGATTCTAGTTTTTCTGAAACTTTCCAACAGGTTCGTCTTATTCCATAGAAATTACATAATTTATGTGAAGACCGAGATGAATGACATCAAAGACAAGATGATTCAAACAGAAATCATTCACTTTGAAACTTTTAGCCTGTTGTGGTACTCAAATCTCATGTAAATGGCAGTATTTTGTACCATTTAAAATTCAAAACTCCACTGCACTGGTTTAACTTTCATGTCTATTAATTAATTATAAAATGCTTTGAGATTCTACTGGAAAGTTTTAAGTATAACAAGAATCTAAATAGGAACAAGGATGGTTTCAAAGTTTTACAGTGCTCCCCCCTTTACAGTCTGGAGTGAGCAAAGAAGAAACACATAGAAGACTCTCACTGGGGGGGCTCTACAAAACTAGTCTACTCTGCTTCATTCATAGATGAAGCAACCAAAACCCAGAGAGATCACGCCATTTCCCAAAGGTCACACAGCTGGTTAGAGTGACAGTGTTGGGCCAAGAAGTAAAGTCTGCACTCTCCTGCATAGACTCCCCATGTCACTTTTTTCCAGACTGACATCTTACCATGAACAATTCATTGATAATTTACAAAATATATACAGTTGTAATTTCCTAAATGAGATATTAACAATCCAATCTTAGATTTTCTTAATATCATTAAATTGCTTGGGTTATTGAGCTCTTACTGGGTGCCTGGCACTGTATTCTGGGTTTATATTCATTACCTGGATGAATTTTCCCCACAACCTCATGAGGCAGGTATTATTTTATATATGAGTAAGCTCGGCCTTAGAGAGATGCGCAGCTTGTGCAGGATCACACAGCTACTATGCGGTCTAGCTGGGACTGCAACCCAGGTCTGTCTGATTTTTAAGCTTGCCCTTTTAACCAGAACTAGATACACTGTCCCTTCCAATTGGACTTTCCCGTTTGTCTTATTCGAAAATGTACTTTTAACACATAATAATTGGGAGGTGCCTGGAACTTCTTACATCTTCATAAGAAGATTGGAAAATGGATTTCAGCATATTTCTTGCTTCTTTCGTTAACTGAAATTGGGCTTGTCTTACAAAGAAAAAATAGAGTTAAATGGAATAGCGTGTTGAATCTAGCCTTCCTATGGGTTCATGTCACTTCACTGCAAATAAGCCTTTGATGTCTCCCCTCTCACGGAGGCAAAGCTAAAGTCCTCACAAAACCACTTGCAAGGTTGCTGGCAATCTGTACCTCCCCTTCTCTCTCTAACTCTCTGATCTCACTTCCTGCCTTGCCCCTCAGGCCTCTATATTTACTGTTCCCTCCATTTCTTCTGCTAGATATTTGCTCAAATGTTACCTTATTTTTTAGGCTTCCTTGATTATCTAACTTATAGCTGAAAAACTCACCCCTACCTCAGCACACCCTGCCTCCTCGTTTTCTATTTCCCTGCAGTACTTGTTACCATCTCTGTTTTATTTGTTGACTAATTCTCCCTGAGAGAGTGAAGGCATAATTATGTAGTTTACTGCTGTAGTCTTAGTAGACCAGTGCCTGTCTTAGAGAAGGTGCTCAAAAACATATTTGCTGAGGGAATTGTGTGACAAACTATAGCACTTAGGTATGTGCCTTGGCTTCAACCTCACAGTGTAAGGTATGTATTCTGAGCACCCTAACTTTGTAATGACCTCTCAGATCTATTACCTACGGGTAACTGGCTAATCCCCTTTTGCCGTTGAGAGTTAATCAGTGCCCTCTTCCATTCCATTCTTGGTAATCTCTAGGATTTCAAAAAGGAGGGAATTTCGAGTTCCTTATAGGTCCCTCAGTGATTTAGAGGAAGCGATCCATACTTTTACTGGTCTCTGTAGAACAGGACCATCATGATAGCATTAGAAGTGTAAGAAGCAGAAACCATTAGTAAAATTGCCATTATATGTACTTTCAAATGGTAAAACATCAAATGGCAGATTTCACCTGTTTGTAAAAAGGGCAAAGTAAGGTGTTGGCTCTTTGAGCATTTACACAAACTGTTTTTCTTTTCAAAGTTGTCTAAGAAGGCCCAGTGTAATGGAAGAGCATTGGGGTGGTGGGGGAGGGCCTCCGCAACCTGGGCTGTAAAATGAGCAGACTGAAGATGATCTCCCAGCTCCATGAAGCTCAAAAAGTCTGAAACACTCTTGGAGATAAAGCCACGGAGCTACCTCCTGCCCATCTACAGTTATATTTCATGTTTATCATTACAATCTATTTAACATACCAAGAATGATTGTTATAAATCCATATTTAGATACATGAACTTTATTGTCATTTTTTTAAAATATAAACATTTAAGGACACTTATAAACTTAAAGGACAATTATAATAACTATACGTAACCCTAATTCATTGAGACTCATTATCCAGTTTGTAAACATGTAAGCCTTCCGTGGCTCTCTTCCCATTTTTGTACAAGGGTAAAGAATTTGAAAAGTTAAAATTCCAGCTTATGACTTGTTTCTAAGCTCCAAGGACATTATAACCAAAGGCCCTATTTCAAAGTTCCTATTTTGGGTGCTGTCCCTTCTACCTCCATTAACTTGAATTGAGAATTACCAATACTGTTACGTAGTCCATTATTTCAACTCATTTCACAAATGTTAACCTGTCATCTTTATACATGACCGCCTGGTAAAATACATGCTACTTAAAATAATAAAATTTATTAATCAGTTAAATCATACTAGCCTGTGGAAGAGGGTTTACCTGTGTGTTCTTCCAAATATCAAAACAATATTGGGGCAGCATTATTGTTCCAGCTAAAGCACCAAACGGTGAGTATAACTGCCCTTCTTAGTCAGGGATAGTGGAACGCTGGCTAGTCACTGTGCAGATTCTTTGAGGTTTATGATGTTTACCTCTATCACAAATCTAAACTCTGGCACTACCTCAAGTACATAACACATCTTTTATTTGGTAAAGAAAAATTTTTCTAAAATAACCAGGTAACACCAAAATAACAAATTTCAATAGTGATAGTCTATTTTTCTTTTTACAAAATCACGGCTCTTTATTTTTCACAAGCTTTTATTAATTTCGGCATGATTTGGTCTAGATTATTCCTATACTAGGAATAGAATCAAAATGTATGATCTAGCTGGGTCTTATTCTCATTGTTAGCTACTGGGACTTTATACCTGGATGACCAGGTCTTAAGTTGGACTGAATACGTCTTACAGGAGGTCCGTCTCCTTGGTAGGTCGCAGGAAACCCAGAAACGCAATTCCGAGGCTCAATTTCTTTGGCTAGTAGTCTCACGAGAACAGCTGCCATGACCAGGCCCGCAAAGGACGCTTTGCAGTATGGAGAAGGGATCACGCTCCTAAGGCCAGCCTCTACCTCCCAACCTCTGCAGCAGGCAGGGGTTGTGGAAGACACAAAAGAAAGGATCTGCCCTCACCCTTCTCGAATTTAAAATCCAATTCGCAGGCGGGACTTTAAAAATATTCAACCAAACATTAAACGGAAGAAAATCCCCTGCGTGTAACCATCGCCTATTTGTGTTGTACAAATCAAAACTGGAAATGTTAAGGAATTTAAAACAAATTAGCTGGGTAAGGCAAATCTAAGATGGAAGAAAAGGTGGGGGATTCGAGCTGAAATCGCCAAGTCGAGGACCGAAAGCATCTGGATCAAAGCAGCCTCCGGGCTGCAAAAGCAAAGAGCAAAACGGGTATCGCCCCTGAAGAACTAGAAAGGCCAATAATGGGTCGGTTTAACTGAAAGGCGGGTTCTCTTTCCTCCATTTGCTCAGCCCCAACTGGAAGCGCACTGCGCGGCCTGCGCCGCGCTCTCGGCCGGGAGTTCGGCGGGGGGCGGGGAGGGAAGTACGGTAATGGGCAGGGCAGAGCGCGGGCGCGCTCCGGCTTCCCCCGGCGCGGCGTTCCCGTCGGCGCAGGGGGCGGGGCGGCTATATTACGTGCGCGGCGCCGCCCCTGCGAGAGGACGTTGCGTGCTCGCTCGCGCCAGGCGAGTCTCCGCGTCTCCCTCGCGAACTCGGTGAAAGGAATTGGCGCCGTTCGACACCAGGCGGGTCCGCTCTGCAGCACGAACCCACCTCCAGCCGCAGCCGCAGCCGCCGCCCGGGCCGAGGAGCAGCCGCAGCAGCCGCCGCCAGTGGCCGAGTGAGCGGAGCCGAGTTTGAGCCAGCGCCTAGCGGTGATTCGGGGCCCTCACCATGAGTTCGTCGCCTGTTAATGTAAAAAAGCTGAAGGTGTCGGAGCTGAAAGAGGAGCTCAAGAAGCGGCGCCTGTCCGACAAGGGCCTCAAGGCCGAGCTCATGGAGCGGCTCCAGGCCGCGCTGGACGACGAGGAGGCCGGGGGCCGCCCCGCCATGGAGCCCGGGAACGGCAGCCTAGACCTGGGCGGGGATTCCGCCGGGCGCTCGGGAGCAGGCCTGGAGCAGGAGGCCGCGGCCGGCGGCGACGACGAGGAGGAGGAAGAGGAGGAGGAAGAGGAGGGGGTCGCCGCGCTGGACGGCGACCAGATGGAGCTGGGGGAGGAGAACGGCGCCGCGGGGGCGGCCGACTCGGGCCCGATGGAGGAGGAAGAGGCCGCCTCGGAGGACGAGAACGGCGACGACCAGGGTTTCCAGGAAGGGGAGGATGAGCTCGGAGACGAGGAGGAAGGCGCGGGCGACGAGAACGGGCACGGGGAGCAGCAGGCTCAACCGCCGGCGACGCCGCAGCAACAGCCCCAACAGCAGCGCGGGGCCGCCAAGGAGGCCGCGGGGAAGAGCAGCGGCCCCACCTCGCTGTTCGCGGTGACGGT